AAAAATGATGTTGTTTTCGCAAAGCAGTCTTTGTTCTACCCTCTGCCGTCGTCAACGAAACACGTGAAGGTTTTCCTAGCGAAAAGATAGGGTTTGGAAAAGAGGTTTGGGTTTTCGAAAGAGTTTGGGAAAAAGTAGGCAGAGGCCATTTTGGTTTAAAAGGGTGAGCACAAGGGCAACGAGTTGCGGTAAAGGTCATTCCTAAAGCTTAGGTCAATCCCTCCTTACTCTTTCAAACTGCTATTCTTCATTTGCATTTGCTGTGCCTGTGAAACTGAGTGACTTGGTTCAGATTTCGAAAGGTATTAAGAGCGGTAGAGATGTTGGGAATTTTTCTAGCTGAAACTTCTCCCTCATCCGAGTGATTTGTTTGCCTGTTAGAAGTATGAATATTACGAGTCTGCCTTTTAATCTTTTATAGCTGTTGAGATTTTTCTTGGTAAGCAATCTAAACTTTTGTAGGATTTATGAGAAATCGGAAAATAAATCGTGTAATATTTAATTTTAGTTAAACTCATATAATGTAGTTTTTAAATTATTATTGAGTTGGATCTTAACTTTTAGGCCGAAGAAAAAAACATATTTATCAAAGTATGAACGATTATACTGCTCAAAATTTCAATACCAAATATTACACTGAGTTGCTCCCACTATTTTTGGGCACTTTTTGAGAGTTAGGATGTGTTTTCCTGTAAGTTATCTAGTTTTTTAGTGTTTTTCAGTAGTATTAAGCTGTGATCTTTTGTATCGTGAGTCATTCTCTTACAATCATAAATGCTAAGGTGCAACTCAAGTTTGTCGTCATGAATGTTATAAAGCCCAGTTTCTAAAACACTGTTACAGTACGGTGCATGTTCAAAAGAAAATTGGTTCAATAATTAATTATTGTTATTCCATATTTACTGTTGTTTTTAATATTTTGGAGACTGTAACAGTGTAACCCTGTATTGCTTTGCTTGACAGGGGAATATTTGGGTGGTATATTATTGTCAATCACTACCCTCCTTTGGTCTTGCCTTAATAATTTATGTATTTGCTAGCATATAGTCAGAAAGTTTAGAAGAAATTAAGTGCTTACATTTGGTATTTCTCCTTGGGTCTCTAGAATGTTACGTGATATGTATGATTTTTGTGCCACTTTTATTTTGGCTTTCTTATTTTTCTCTTGCTCGGATTGACTTTTAGAAGGCTTTGTCCTCATTGGAGATGCCCAAGGCTGTTACGTCCCCTTTGAATGAGAACCAAAGGAGCACTACTACATAAATAGCTTTTTACACCTAGTTTTTAAATGGAGGAAGTGATGTAGTACTTCTAGGTGCTTGGACTTTGCGTGTTTAATACCTTGTTAAGACTATTTCTACTGTTGGAAAAAATATTGCTAGGGTAAGTTCATTTTATAATTCACTTAGTATGTTTGTTTGTATTTGGCAAATGGACCAGACCAAACCTGCTTGTGAAATATTTTATATTGAAAATGAGATGAACCAATTCAGCTACTATGGTCTAAGAATTATTGCAAGTTTGTTGATATTTTCCCTGCCTTTTCATTTTCTTGTTGTCTGCATTACTTAGGCTGATATAAAGTTTTCAATCAAAAGCTTTATTTTAAGAAGACTGTCACATATGTTGGAGGACTTATGACTCACTTGGAATCAATTGCATCCTTTGTGGTATATTCATCTTCTTATTGCTCTTTATTTCATTGCTAGTAACAGTAATTTTTAATGAGTGATTTATTGCTCAAGAACATAGGTTAATTCTACGTTGGTTTTGCTTGGTTGTCATGGTGGTTGATATTCTTACTTTAAGGTGTAGTTATATAAGTAAACTAAATAGAAGTCCCACATTGGAAAGAATAAAAATTTAAACTAAAAGAGGAATCTTTACATGTCACTTGGTAAAATTTCTTGTGTTCTACTTATAGGAAACTGATGTAGAGGAGGAACTGAAGGAGGCATTCAGAGGTTTTTTGATGAAGATCGTAATGACTATATATCAGCGAGGTATGTATATATATTTCTTACTATTTATTTTTATATTTTTGTCATAATTTTATTTGTTTATTCATGTTAATATTCTTGCATTGGCCTTCTTTTTTTCCTCTGCCCCTCTCTTTTCACCACCAAAAAAAAAATTATGTTGTCTTTTGTGGTGTTTTTTTTGTTTTAATCCATCTAATAATTTTTCAATAAACTTGAGGAAATTTGTTGTTATTCATAGAAGGGTTGTAACGTTTTTCAATTTAGTACAAGTTACGAAATGTATATTCTTTTTTTTTCCTTATTTATTTAAGAAAATTAAGAAGAGTGTGAACTTTCGCATGGAGGAGGTATACAAGGAAGAAAGATACATTTCCGTTGAAAAGTTATTGCCTACAACATATGGAGAATTAAGGAGAAGCATTGATTAAAGGTTAGGGGTTTAAATTTTATTGTAAACTTGTCATGCATGGCTAGAGTCGGGAATAAGGGTCGGGCTTGACGGGCCGCCCGTTTAAACCCGTTTTAATAAGGGTTTGGGCTTAAAAATTTGGCATTTTTTAGGGTAACCGGGCTTCGAAGCCTGACTCTTTTAAGCCCTAGAAAAATGGGCTCGGGCTCGGGCTCGGGCGGCCCGTGAAGCCCGTTTTACTATTCACAAAGTATTGTTTTCACCTCTTTCTAGATAATGTGCAAACATTGATTTGTATTTTGTACCAGCAATTGATTGAATTGTTTTGTGCCATTTTATAGTAATTTTTATATTTTGTCTTGTGATATATGTATAGATATATATTTGATAATAAAACAATTTAATTAATAATTATTGTAGGTGATGATGAAGAAGCTGCAGAAATAATTAATATTGAGCCTTCGCCTCCATCTTTCACAAGTGGACCTACATCTGAGGGTTTTAATATTTTATTTATGGATGATAATGAGGGAGATCTTGATTAGGATTGATGATGATGTTTGCCTTCATCTTATTTGGACTTTTAAATTTTTTGTTCATTTTTTAGATTATGTGAGACTTTGGTTTGATATGTGTTAAATTTTAAAATATTCTAAATAAATTTTAATGTTAAATTTTATTTTATTTTATTTTATTTTATTCTTATCCGGGCTTACGGGCCCAACCCTGAGCCCTATGAATTAGGGCCGGGCTTCAATTTTAAGGTAAAATTGGGGTAACCGGGCTTTAGGGCCTAGGCCCATAAGGGCCGAGCCCATATGGGCTAGGCCTGCCCGTTTACCAACTCTATGCATGGCTGTCTTTACTTAATCATTTATAGTTTGATTGCCTTCCATGTATGTTGTAATTTAATCATTTTATATTCCCACTAAAGGATAGTCTAACAAGATCCAAATGTATTTTCTATTTTTGACTTACCTACAATTCATTCCTTACATTTATTGTTTGCACTATCTATCAAAATCTCAGAAGCACGGACACGGCAAAATGGCTGGCGTGTCCGACACGGACACGCGTTCAGTACGCGAGAACGGCGAGTCCCTTTTCCCAGTTTCTGGCGGACGTGGGCGGACGCGGGTCAAGACAGGTTGACACGGGTCGGACGAAGGTCAGACGCAAGCAGACGCAAAACTCTACGTTTTTCACTTCCTTTTACTCAGTCCCAGCTCTAGAAATCCATTGCCCTATCTTTTTAGCTCCAATCGACCGCTGTTTTACTCAGATCGCTGTTTTTTGCTGTAGCTTCACGGTTCACTCTGCGTCGCTGCCTCACTCGCTCACCGTCTACTATGCCTCAGTCTTCGTATTCGACTGTCTGCTCTGCCTCAACGTCTTCGACCGTCTGCTCTGCCTCACCATCGTTCTTTAGCTTCATTGGCAATTTATTCAGTTCATGTGGTTGGTCGACAATCATTTTTCAGCTTCATTTTCAGTTCCTCTTGTGCTGTTGAGTGCTGATGGATATTTTATTATTATTATTATTGCATTGCATTACTGATTGAATTACTGATTTGAACTAGAGAGCTGATTGAATTACTGCTAAACCGAGAGAGCTGTCCAGAGCCTTGAATTACTGATTTAATTTTTTTTATTTAGATGGATTATTTTGTTGAGTTAAACATTGATTTATTTTAAATTTTTATTAGCTCTCTTCTTGTTAAAATTGCAGGATATTATTTAAAATTAAACCTACAATGGCTTCTAATTCTAGACCTGGTAGTAGTTCAGGAAGTGTGAATTCTCAATTTCAATCTAATAATGAAAGACAGAAAGAGAGTACTCCTTTATGGGCTTATGTAACTTTGGTTCCTCAAGAAAATGAAGAGGATGGTGGAAATAGAAGTTGGAAGTGTAACTATTGTAATAACCAATATAATGGCTCTTATTCTAGAGTTAAATTTCATTTGTTGAGGATCTCTAGAAAGGGTATTGCTATATGCTTGAAAGTTGATGATAGTTGTTTAGGTGAAATGCGAAAAGCTCAAGAGGAGGCTGAGAATAGAACAAAACCAAGACATGTGCCATTGCCAACTCCAACTGAGAGCTTGTCTCCTTTATGTCAAAGGGGTTCTACCCCTATTCAAAGTGAACACAATCAGGGAAAGAAGAGGGCAATAAATACAATAGAAAGAGCTTTCCAACAAGGAGCTAGAGATAATTTAACTGCTGAAATTGCTAGAATGTTTTATTCGGCTGGCTTGTCTTTCAATTTGGCACATAACCCATATTTTATTAGTGCATTTCAATATGCTGCCAACAATATAATTCCTGGTTTTAAACCTCCTGGTTATAATGCACTAAAAGCTTGATAAATGATAGAGCATAATGGCATCTTGCAATCCATGTAGCCGACCCCACTTAGTGGGATAAAGGCTTCTTGTTGTTGTTGTTGTTATTGTTATAATGCACTAAGGTCTACTTTGTTGCAAAAAGAAAGGGCCAATGTTGAAAAGCAACTTGAATCAATCAAAGGGACTTGGAATCATAAGGGGGTAAGTATAGTTACGGATGGTTGGACAGATGTACAAAGAAGGCCATTAATTAATTTTATGGCTGTAAGTGATGGAAACCTCATGTTTTTGAAGGCAATTGATGCAACTAGTGAGTATAAAGACAGATTTTACATGGCTGACTTGATAAAGAAAGTGGTTGAAGAAGTGGGGCCTCATAAAGTTGTTCAAGTAATTACTGATAATGCGCCTGTTTATAAATCTGCTGGTAAGATGGTGGAAGATGAATATCCTCACATCTTTTGGACACCATGTGTGGTGTATACACTTAATCTTGCCTTAAAGAATATATGTGCAGCAAAAAATACAGAGGCAAATGAAATTGTTTATGGAAAATGTCGTTGGATCACTGAGGTGAGGGATGATACAGTCTTTATCCGAACATTTATCATGAATCATTTTATGAGATTGGCCATGTTTAATGAATTCGTGCCATTAAAATTGCTTGCAATAGTCGAAACAAGATTTGCATCAACAATTATGATGTTGAAGAAATTCAGACTTATCAAAACTTCTCTTTGTACACTAGTTATTAGTGAAGAATGGAATGCTTATAGAGATGATGATGTTGGAAAGGCTGCTATTGTGAAGGACATAATTCTTAATGATCTTTGGTGGGAGAAGGTTGATTATATTCTCTTTCACTAAGCCAATTTATGATATGTTGAGATTTACTAACACAGATAGACCCACACTTCATTTGATTTATGAGATGTGGGATTCAATGATAGAGCAAATCAAGGAATCAATTTATAAGCATGAAAGAAAATCACTTTCTGAGTACTCTTCATTTTATGTTGTTTATAACATCATCATTGATCGATGGACAAAGAGTGCCACTCCACTATATTGTCTTGCCCACTCACTGAATCCTAGGTGTGTTATTCTTATTTTTTATCATGAAATTCTTTTCTTTATCATTTTTGCATCACAACTCCAATTAATGTTATTATATTATTGTAGGTATTATACAACACAATGGCTTGAAGGTGGACTAAATAGAGTCTCTCCACATAGAGATGCTGAAATATCAACTGAGAGGAAAAAGTGTATTAGAAGGATGTTTCCAGATGAAGAAGAGATGAAATTGGTTATGAATGAATTTTTAAAATTTTCTGGATGTTCAGATGAGTTCTCTTTTGTTGATTCCATACAAGATAAATGTGTATTAGAGCCTAAGGTTTGGTGGAGCAATCATGGTGCTGATGCTCCTAAACTTCAAGGGACTGCATTGAAACTTCTCAATCAACCATGCTCATCATCTTGTTATGAAAGAAATTAGAGCACTTACTCTTTTGTTCATTCACTAAAGAGAAACAGGATGCTTCCAAAAAGAGCAGAGAACTTAGTTTTTGTTCATTCAAATCTTTGTCTTCTTTCAAGAAAGAGTGAGAAGTATTCTACTGGAGAAAGTAGATTGTAGGATATTAGTGGAGATTGTTGGGAAATAGATGATGTTGAAAATCTTGAAGTTGCAAGTTTATCTCTAGATGAGCTAATTTTGGAGAGAGAACTTATAGAAGAAAGTGGTGATGTCAATGAAGATGAGAAAGTTTAGAATTACTTTAAGTTGATAATTATCTTTTGCCACTTTATAGTGTTTAAGTGCTTGACTATTTATTATATTATATTTGTGATGACATTAGACATCTTGAAATTATGTTTTTAGACATCCAAATATTTAATATTTAATTATTTATATAGCCGTACCTGTATCTTAAAATTTTGAAAAATAGCCGTGTTCGCGTATCGTATCGTATCGTACCCGACACTCGTACCCGTATCGTTGCTTCTTAGATCAAAATTGGATATGTGGCTTCTTAGAGAAATGACGATGCTTTGATTTTATTTAGATGCTTTTTGGTTTCAGATTTTATTATTTTTCTCACTAAAATTGTACAAGGCTCAATGACAATATATGATTTGATGCCTAATCTAAATGTTCAAAAATAAATTTTTAGGAGATTACTTTTTTTCTCAGCTTAGACTATCAATGCCTATGCTTGTACATGTAGTCCCTAAAAAATTTCTTCATGTATCTTAATCTAAAAGCTTGAGTGAAAATGTGAGTCAATTGGGGCTTATTTTGGAGGCTTGAAATGGACATGCAAAACTTGAATAGCATTCCTTACAGACATAGCTTGAGTATTAGCTATCAAAGTTTGATATGTGGTTTGTTAGAAAAATGACAGTACTTTTATTTTCAATAGATGATTGTGGGCTTGAGTGCTATCTATCAAAGACCGATATGTGGCTTCTTAGAGAAATGACAGTATTTTTATTTTCAAAAGACGGTTGTGATTTTGGATTCAACCATGCTTCTTAATGCACCCATATAAGGCTCAATGACAATTACATGATTTTATGCCTTTCTAAATGTGCATAATATATTTTTAGGGGGATTACTTGTTCCTTTCAGATTAGACTATCCATGCCTATGCTACTGCTTGTAGTCTCCCAAAAAATTGCTATATGTATCATTAATTGACTCATTTAAATGCTTTTATCGCATTGTGGTTAAATTGGGGCCTATTGTGGAGGTTTTAAATTGGCATATGGAGCTGCAAAAGTATTCCTGCCATAAAAGCTTATGTTCTTTCTATCAAAATTTATGTAACTTCTCAGAGAAATGGCAGCACTTTGATTTTATTTAGGATAGATACTTTTTGGTTTGGGATTTTATCATTATTTTACTACACTCGTGCAAGGTTCAATGACAATATATGATTTGATGTATAATCTAAATGTATGGAAATATTTTTTTAAGGGGAATTGTTTTTCCTTTCAGCTTAGACTATTAGTGTCTATGCTGCTACTTATAGTCCCCCTAAAACATTTCTACATCTATCAATCATTGCTTTTACTGAAAACTCATATGAAAATGTGGGTAAATTGAGGCTTCTTTTAGAGGCTTGAAATTGACAAGCAGACCTTGAATAGTATTCCTGACATGCTCGGTTTCATTTCTATTTACCAAAGTTCAATATGTGGCTTCTTTAAGAAATGAAAGTGCTTTAATTTTTGATAAATGGTTGTGGGCTTGATTTCTATCTATCAAAGTTGAATATGTGACTTATTAGAGAAATGACAATACTTTTATTTTCAATAGGCAGTTGTGGTTGGATTTGACCGTGCTTCTAAATTCAACCATGTAAGGCTCAGTGACAATTATATGAATTGACGCCTATCTAAATGTGCAGAAATATATTTTGTGGGGTTTACTTTTTCCTTTCAGCTTAGGCTATTTGTGCCTATGCTGCTGCTTGTAACCTCCCTAAAAAATTTCTACATCTATCAATCATTGCTTCTGTTGAAAGCTTGTACGAAAATGTGGGTAAATTGAGGCTTATTTTAGAGGATTGAAATTGACATGCAAAGCTTGAATAGTATTCCTTACATGCTCAGCTTGATTTCTATCCACCAAAGTTTAATATGTGGCTCTTTTGAGAAATGATAGTGCTTTGATCTTCGATAGGTGGTTGTGGGCTTGATTTCTATCTATCAAAGTTCAATATGTGGCTTCTTAAAGAAATGACACTACTTTCATTTTTGATAGGCGGTTGTGGTCTTGAGTGGTATCTATCAAAGTTTAATATGTGGCTTGTTAGTAACATGACAATTCTTTGACTTTTGATAGCTGGTTGTAGGCTTGGGGATATTTATCAAAGTTCGATATATGGCATGATAGAGAAATGAAAGTAATTTGATTTTCAATCGGTGGTTGTAGGCTTGAGTGATATCTATCAAAGTTTGATATTTAGTTTCTTAGGAAAATGATAGTCCAATATGTGGCTTATTAGAAAAATGATAGTATTTTTATTTTCGATAGGCAGTTATGGGCTTGAGTGCTATCTATCAAAATTTATATGTGGCTTCTTGAAGAAATGACAATACTTTTATTTTCAATAGATGATTGTGGTTTTGGATTTGACCATGCTTCTAAATACATCCATGTAAGGCTCAATGATAAGTATATGAATTAATGCCTATCTAAATGTGTAGAAATATATTTTTTGTGGGTTTTACATTTTCCTTGCAACTTAGACTATTTGTGCCTATGATGTTGCTTGTAGTCCTCCTAAAAAATCTCTACATCTTTCAATTATTGCTTCCGCTAAAAGATTGTATGAAAATGTGGGTAAATTAAGGGTTATTTTAAAGGATTGAATTTGACATGCAGAGCTTGAATAGTATTCCTTACATGCACGGCTTGACTTCTATCTATCAAAGTTCGATATGTGGCTCTTTCGAGAAATGAAAGTAATTTGATTTTCAATAGGCAGTTGTGGACTTGATTTCTATCTATCAAAGTTCAATATTTGACTTCTTCAAGAAATAACAGTACTTTCATTTTCGATAGGTTGTTATGGTCTTGAGTGATATCTATCAAAGTTTAATATGTGGCTTATTAGAGAAGTGATAGTACTTTTACTTTCTATAGATGGTTGTGGGCTTGAGGATATCTCTCAAAGTTTGATATGTAGTTTCTTAGAAAAATGATAGTACTTTGATTTTCAATAAGTAGTTGTGAGCTTGAGTGCTATCTATCAATGTTCGATATGTGGCTTCTTAGAGAAATAACATTATTTTTATTTTCAAAGATGATTGTTGTATTGGATTTGACCATGCTTCGTAATGTCTCCATGTGAGGCTCAATGACAATTATATGAACTGATGTGTATCTAAATGTGCATAAATATATTTTTTGTGGGAATTACTTTTTCCTTTCAACTTAGACTATTCGTGCCTATATTACTACTTGTAACCCCTCTAAAGAATTTTTTACATCCATTAATCATTGTTTTCGCTCAAAGATTATATGAAAATGTGGGTAAATTGAAGCTTATTTTAGAGGATTGAAGTTGACATGTAGAGCTTGAATAGTATTCCTTACACGCTTAGCTTGACTTCTACCTATCAAAGTTCAATGTGTTGGCCTCTTAGAAAATGACAATGCTTTTACTTTAGATACATGGTTGTGGGCCTAGGGATATTTATCAAAGTTCAATATGTGGTTTGTTAGAGACATGACAATAATTTGATTTTCAATAGGTGGTTGTGGGCTTGAGTGATATCTATCAAAATTCAATATATGGCTTATTAGAGAAATGATAGTACTTTTATTTTTGATAGGTGGTTGTGGGTTTGAGTGCTATTTATCAAAGTTCACTATGTGGCTTCTTAGAAAAATGACAATACTTTTATTTTCAATAGATGATTGTGATTTTAGATTTGACTATGCTTTTGAATGCACCCATGTAAAGCACAATGACAATTATATGAATTGATGTGTATCTAAATGTGCAAAAATATATTTTTTATGGGGACACTTTTTTCTTTTAGCATAGACTATTCGTGCTTTTGCTGCTGCTTGGGATTCCCTTAAAGAATTTTTACATCTATCAATCATTGCTTCCGTTGAAATCTTGTATGAAAATATGGCTGTATTGAGGCTTATTTTCTAGGGTTTAAATTGACATGTAGAGCTTGAATAGTATTCCTCACATGCTTGGTTTGATTTTTATATATCAAAGTTCAATATATAGCTTCTTGAAAATGATATTGTTTTGATTTTTGATAGGTGATTATGAGCTTGATTTCTATCTATCAAAGTTCAATATTTGGCTTCTTGAAGAAATGACAGTACTTTTATTTTTAATAAGAGGTTGTGATCTTGAGTGATATATATCAAAGTTTGATATGTTGCTTGTTACAGAAATGACGGTACTTTTACTTTCAATAGATGGTTGTAGGCTTAGGGATATCTATCGAAGTTCGATATGTAGGTTGTTAGAGAAATGACAGTGCTCTGACTTTTGATAGGCGGTTGTGGGCTTGATTTCTTTCTTTCAAAGTTTAATATGTGGTTCTTAGAGAAATGATAGTACTTTTATTTTCAATAGGCAGTTGTGGTCTTGAGTGATATCTGTCAAAGCTTGATATGTGGTTTGTTAGAAAAATGACAGTGCTTTGACTTTTGATAGATGGTGGCTCGCCATCGAACCAGACTCACTTTTAAAGCTAAAATTACAATAAATTACACTAATTAAGTCCTTTTAGTCGCACATTTCATTAACTCAATAATTACATGCATTAGGTTAAATAAAGGTTAAATTTTCTCGAATGTTACATAAGTTACATAGATTATATAACGTCATTGTGCTCTATCATTTATTAAACTTTTAGAAATATTGTTAATTAAAATGTCTCGCTTAACAATTTTCAAAGTGTTCTCTTTAGTCTTTTTCTATCTTTTTTGACAGGGTTCAAAGTCATTTGTTC